TACACCCCCCCGGAATATGTACAGAGACAAGGGGGAGGAGGGGCGGCCCTGGGGAGGGGGAGGAGCAGGGGAGGGGAAGGGAACACCCCCACCCCTCACCCAGGGGGAGTCCCCCCCACTTGGACACACCCCGAGTTTCTACAAGAAACAGCCAAAAAAAGGGGGAGAAACGAGCCTTTTCCAAGGGGCAGGGGGCGTGGGAGGGTGGGTGGGGCAGGCCGCTGTGATGGCACTGTGATGTAATCATGACATCATCGTGTACATTTTGATGTCACGGGGGCAGCGACGTCATGGCTGGGCTGTGGGGCGGGAGGAGGGGTGACATCGATGACAGGGTGGTGACATCACGTGCTGACCACGGGGGACGTCGACGGTGGTCCCTCGGTGGCCAAATGTCCACAGCGGTGGAACCCCCGGCCCCCCTCTCCTCAGGGCAATCCTCACATCGGCCATGGTGGCCACAACGCCAACCTCGGCGGCCGCGTCAGCCACAGGTTGGCCCCTTTTGCCCACCACGGCGTCCTCGCGCCACCGGCTGCAGCTGCACCTCGACCGTGGTGGCCCAACGCCAACCCTGGTGGCCAAACACCAACCCAGGTGGCCTCGTGTCAACCTTGGTGGTCAAACATTAAACATGGTGACCAAACACCGACCACGATGATGACGTGTCAACCCTGGCGGCCAAACGTCAACCACGGTGGCCAAACACCGACCCCGGTGGCCTCATGTCAACCCTGGTGGCCGAACACCGACCCTGGTGGCCAAACACCAACCACAATGGCCGCGGGTCAACCCTGAAGGCCAAGGGCCAACCAGGACGGTCGCGTGTTAACCCCGGTGGCCCAAACGCCAGCCCCGAGGTCCCTGTGGCCCCCCCAGCAGAGCCCCCTCGCCCTAGTTCAGGGTGCCACGACAGCTCTCGGTGCGGCACAGGCACGGGATCTTGGTGTCCTCGATGGGGAACTTGTAGTCGTAGGTGATCTCCTCGTTGACGCCGATCGCCTGCTTCGAGTAGATGACGATCTTCTTCTGCGCCTCGATGGTGATCACCTTGGCGTAGCAGTTGGGCTGGGGGGAGGGGCGACATGGGAGGGGTCAGGGGGGCCCTCCCCGGCCGTTTTGGGGACATCCCCCCCCCGCCTCCTCAGGGCCTCACCGTGCAGCAGTGGTTGATGAACCGCGCCAGGTTCCCGCACTTGGTGGCGTCGATGATGGTGTCGTGGTCGACGCGGAACAGGTAACTGCTGCCGATGCCCTCCTGGGCGTAGCGCTTCTCCCTCATGTCTGCCACCACCTGCGAGGGCACGGGGGGCACGGGGGGGGTCACCGAGGGTGGTGGGACGTGACCAGGGGGGTAACTGGGGGGCACTGAGGGTGGTGGGAGGTGAGCAGGAGGTACTTCAGGGTTGCTTCAGGGGGCGGTCGGGGGTCACCCAGGGTGGTAGGAGGTGACCAGGGGGTGCTTGAGGGTCACCCAGGGTGGTAGGAGGTGACCAGGGGATATTTCAGGGTCACCCAGGGTGGTAGGAGGTGACCAGAGGGTGTTTGGGGGTCACCCAGGGTGGTAGGAGGTGACCAGAGGGTGTTTGGGGGTCACCAAGGGTGGTAGGAGGTGACCAGGGGG